TTCTCAATGCTCCCCTCGCTCTCGTTCCTGACACTAGATGGCGCTAGTGTATCGTCGACTTGAGCGCGTAACATTATATTATCGACACAGATAAAAAAACTAAGTTTTTTTTGGAAACGTTTTCTGTCTGACTGTCTGCAGACGCATCACGCAAGAGCCTGTGAACGGATTTAGATGGCACTTTTACTACTGTGTTACGTAGGAATTGAACCATTTGAGTAAATATGTATTATGAAGCTATCTATCATAAGAGCTGGGTAGTAGGCATGATCTTTCCTTTTGCAGCTACATAAGTTTTTAAAATTAACATTGTCGTGAGATTGAAAAATTATATTATCCGACTTTGGGTTGCTCATATATTATTTCTGCCCATTATTTGCTAAATATCGTGATTTTATTTTAATGTTATAACAACTAGTTACCATTATTTTACCTAGATGGCGCTATAGGTATTTTATAGCAAGGTTGTGGTTGTTAGGTATGGTTTTATTATACGCAAGTTATATTATAAGACACATCTGTAATAGATGACGCTTTCACAGCAATGTGCTTTTATTAGACCAGTAATATAATTTTCTAACAATAAACTGACAAAGGCGATGTATAAAAGCAGGTTGTTTTTTTTTGCTGCTCATGTTTAAATATTATATTACTTATGTCGCATGGAACCCAGTCTTTAGTGCGTTTTCTCAGCTAATCGAAACAATTCATAGAGTTTTTACACGCTACCTTGCCTTTTCAACTCCAAGTATATCACATGGACACCCCTATAAGCAGAGGCTAGTAGCATTTTTCAAAATGACAACCTTACGTGACCGACGTCTCATTGCAGACTTAATGTTTCTACACAAGTTAGTGCATAACAAAATCAAAAGTACGCATCTCCTAGATCGATTCAAATTAATTATCCCGTACAGATATCCCTGATATCCAATTCGCAAAGCAGTATACCTTGCCACAAAACAAATTTAGGCGCGCATTATCCCCTAGCAAGAATATGTAACAAATACAATGAAATTATGACCAAGGTACCGGACGTCGACATTTTCAACGACTCTGCCCGACGCTTCAAAAAAATTGACCAATTTTTTTGCACCCTCTCAGTACACACTCATTCCTTAGTTAGTTTTTTCTTAATATAAGTTATTTTGTATTCAGTACCATTATAATATAATAAGATACACATTACGGTAAATGTTGTGTATACCTAACATAACAATATATATCATTCGTTTTTGTGTTTTTGTTAATGTTTCATGTGTTTTGCTGATGGTATACCTTATAAATAAATAAATCTTGGCTGTACAGTGAGAAATTTTTAAAGAAACTAAACTTTGAGCAAAAAAATCTATAATGATCGCGATCCAGATCGGAAACTATTAGTTACATCGCTTTCGTATGTATACGAGATTCATAGCAAATTCATCAAGGATCATTTCGTTCCCCCACACTTTTCATGTATCGTGTACGGTTCTTTTTAAAACTGTAAAAAACTGTGCTTAGGGGGACTAGGTTCACATTAGGTTTTTGGGGCGCATAGGGGTGACTCTCACCCGTGATTGAATATAGATGAATTTTATGTTTGCTCCACGCGCCGAAATGTGACGATAGATAGAAGTACTCCATTAATTTTGCCAATTTTTTTACCCAAAATGATTGAACTATATGAATAAGGTGTCAAATCATATCGCGCGGCTCAGACGTGTGATTGTTGACTTTTGTTATGATTGTGACTTGTTGAAGAGTGAGAGTTTAAAATATCATAATGTCGGTAGGATGTTAACTATATAAAGATTTTCAGCCCGCAGGCTCATCCCTCTACACCCTTAGCTGTTTACATCGGTGCTGTGCGTCGCAGTCAGTTAAGATTGCAGTAAAGGTTGCCCATTTGGTGAGCAGCAATTCGTCACCAGCCACCTTTTAATCACTGAGACAAGATAAAGGCAGGTTTTTCAAGGCTCGTCTCAATAGCCATGTATTCTAACGGATTGGGCCCCGATATTTTAGCCCGATACGATATATACATATATACGATACGATAGCCCAACATTTAACCCCCCATTTTTCCAATAGTTTATGCATGCGGAGAGAGGCCGATATGTATGTACACCATATTACAAAGTTTTTTTTTATATATAGGAAGAGTGTGACAAGCGAGCACACAGTCCATCAGATGGTAAGTAGACGCTGGCTTATAAAAGTATTGGAGTTTTGAGTTAATTAAAAAGAATCCTAATGAGACTATTAATATTACTTTATTTAATAGAATAAGGGTAACAAACGAAATTACCATCCACCTTATGGTAATTGGCCACTGGAGTCCATGAGCACCTACAGCCTACTCCAAACAAAGAAGACTACCGCAGCGTCGCTACTTCTAAGGAATAAGATAGAATTCTTCACAGCCTGTAACTAAACTGGCTCTCTGTGCCCCTCAGACCGATATACAGACAGCTAAATAACAGTTCTTGCACTGTTATATAAGACTGACTGCCATGACTATCACACGGGTAACCCGAGTTTAATGTTAATTATACGAATTTAAGCAAATGATTTACCATAAAAATTGCATTGTTCATGTGCACAGCGGTGAAAGAATACACAGAAAGAAAATCTATGTGTGTTAGAAATATTTTGAGGACATGTAGAGATTTGGGTTCCAGCAGTGCGGCGCACTAACCATAATCTTCTCAGAAATGACAAGAAGCCTTTTCAGTAGATCGTATAACTGTAACTTATTTCTTATATTTTATAGTAACAGAATGGGCGTCTCCCGGTATGCAACACACGGATCTTTTCAGGAAGACTGAATACTCAACGATGGGCAAATACAACCTGTTCAAAGGGCGTGACTCTTCCCTAGATTTTAATGCTGGTATAAGCAAGTCTGTGTCTCCGTACATACCCAGCAGCCAAAAGTGGAGTTACGGCAAAAAATAATAATTTATTAACTAAATTCCCCCTAACTATTTTATGGAAAAAAGATCGTAATTTCTATTTTTATCTAATACTACTGTTGCAAGAGTTTCATTATACAAATAGAACCACACTAGACAATAGTGCAGTCAAAAATATAAGTAATGTTATTTCCAGTAGACTAAGAAATATTCGGAGTTCTATATTTGGAACTTGTATGAACATATAATTATATCCAAAAAGCAAAAAGGTTTGAAATATTCATTTTAATGTATTTTTATACTGTTGGTTAAAAAATAAGGTAATTATTTTCTTGATTGTAAGTTACAATAACACATAGAGACCTCTAACAAATAAGGCCGCAGAAGCATAGACTTTTTGCATTATATTTCATTATTTTATTATTTAAGGTAATTGAAAGTAAGGTATGGTTTTTTAATGATCAAATTGCATGAAATCAAAGGTGCCAAGCTGTTAAAATGTTGATATTGAACAAAGAATGATAGCGTCTCGGCTTTGTTTATACAATACGATTGTATCTTTCTCAAAGTAATTACATACATACATGTGCCTGCAGTATATTTGTTTGATTAACAAAAAATAACCTGGCCTTAACAATAACTTTGGAACGAGGTGTCAACCAATTTGACACAAAAATCTACGTCAATTTACACAAAAAGAACGGTTTGTAATGGTAGAAATATTTTAAACAAATACCGATTTCCTTATACTTTTATTTTATCAAATTTGTTATGAAATAATAACAAAATACGCGAAAAACATTATTTGTATTCGGTTAATGTACACAATAAGCTTGTTATTTATATAAAATACCAATCTATTAGGTGTTACTTCTTCTATGCTTGCGTTACGAGTGTCATAATTATACGTTAAAAAGCCATAAAAATTAACAACGGCTGAGATTTCAAAAAACTTTAAATTTATTTCGAAAACTTTTAACACCTATTAATAATTTATGTATACCAAATTTTGCTGGCGTAACTCAATAACTGTAAGTTAACTAATAGTGATAAATCAAAGACGGAAATATTAATTCAATAATTTATTAAATCTGTCTTATTTATTACAATTATTATTTAAGTCCATTTTTCTTAAATTTAAAACCACTTAGTGAAAGAGCAAGCACCACTTTTCTCCCAATTGCTGTTAGGCCTGTACGGAGACACAGACTTGCTCAAACCAGCATTAAAGTCAAGGGAATAGTCAGGCCCTTTGAACAGGTTGTAATTGCCCATCGCTGAGTAGTCTTCTTGAAAAGGTCATTGTGTTGCACACCTAGAGACGCTCCCAGTTTGTCACTAAAATATAAAAAATAAGATAAAGTTAGACGCATTACTGCAACCCAAAACATTAATTGCCCTCAAAATATTTCTTACAAATCTAGAATTTTTGTGGTTATTTGTGATAAATGAATCTGCTTAAATTCGTGTAATTAACACTGGTTTCGTTCTGGTTTCGTATATTTAGTTCACTTGTGTGCTAACTCGTATGATGTTTAAGGCAGCTAGTATTATATAGCAGGGCAACAACCGCTATTTAGCGACAGATAAAGTTAGTTTACTGGGCTCCGGTCTGGCTCTCTATATCTATAAGGACGCCAATCTAACAGGACCGAAGAAATACCAGGCGCAGGGACAATGTCTTTCAACTTCAAAGGCCTTGTCGTTGCGGCGGGGCTTAGTAGCCGTGGCTTGGTCACCCACAATAAGCTAAGGAACTAGGAGAAACTCATATGGCTGTAGAGGTGGCCACTCCGAGTGGGCTTGGCGAGCCCATTTCGGATGAGTCTTCCTGTACCTACTGCAGCGAAAGAGGTGCCCTCAACCCCTGCCCTCGCAGCCGAGGGTGAGATATCTATTCTTAATGATGATTTATTACGTGCTCAGCGGTGAACGTCATGAGGGCCTAATAAATGTCTAAAATGTTTAAAAAGAATTAGGGACGTGTGAAATGTTTCACCATATAATAAAACCTTCACAGTAATAATACAATCACATAACTCACAATAATGGGAGGCTTTGACCAGCAGTGGAGATAGCTTTTTATACTTACTCGTATGTGTATCAAACTTTGACACTGTATATATCGAAGTTGGGAATGTTGGGATTGCTGGGAAAGATTCTCGTTGCAAAAGCTTGAGCAGTAATATCATGTTCATCGTTGTGCAGCAAATTGAACTTCCCAGCCGCAGTAAATTGATATCCAAGGTCAGGTATATGCTGTCCACCCAAACTTACGACATGTTTATCGCTGAAAAGTTTACCTATTTAGTAAATTCAGGAAACAAAACTAATTTTTTTTTACAAAAAACGGGGAAAAGAAGCATGCGGCTGAATAGGTAAGCTTCGACCTTTTTTTGTGTTTTGTTACAGAGTACCATCCCATCGTAATTTAGTATTTTAAACAGTTAAATGTACGTGTTTAAGATAGACTACAAACGACATTCCTGTTCCAACTAATACTAGTTAACCACTATTACTAATGGCTATAAATATCCGCGCAGTTGCTGTGTAGGAATATTGAATCCCCAATATCGTCCCAATGGTGGCGTAAGAGCCAACAAAGAGAATCAAGCCAGGAGATGGGCAACAGCATTTTCCTTATAAAAAGAAAACTGCGGATGCCAAACTTGCTGCCAAGCGTGCCAACAATGACAAAATTCTCCTTTATGAGGCAATTTATGGAGGAGGTCTATGTTCAGCAGTGGATTTGTGACAGGTTGTAATGATGATGATAATCTTTAGCGTCGCAGAATATATTATTAATCATGTATTTAAAAATAACAGTGCGGTATAAGATTAACACAACGTCGAGAAATTATTAAATTAGCTCGCAAGTGGTATTATAATCTAAGAATGGTAACTCTTAATAAGGTCATTCAGTTACGGTATCCAGTAACAATACTTAATAACTGTAGTCCAGTAAATGTCTAAAAATTTTAAAAAGAATTAAGGACTTGTGAAATATGCCATCATATACTTATAGAAGCAGCAGGGTGATATCATACCGTGCCATAAAATAAAACCCTCTCAATAATAAGTGGAGGCTGTGCCCAGCAGTGGGGACAGATTTTTCTACTTACTCGTATGTGTACCCAATCATGCCACCGTATGTATCATAATTGGGAATGTTGGGATTGCTGGGAAAGGTTCTCGTTGCAAAAGCTTGAGCAGAAATATCATGTTTATCTTCGTGAAGCAGATTATACTTCCCGGCCGCAGTCAATTGATCTGCAAAGCCTGGTTTATGCTGTCCAGTTAAACTTGCGCCATGTCTGTCGCTGAAAATTTTACTTATTTAGTAAAGTCAGGAAAAAAATATAATAATCTTATGTGGCGCAGAATATATTATTAATAATGTATTTAAAAAATCACAATACAGTATTAAATAAATACAACGTCGAGAAATTATTAAATTCATTAAGATCATCCAGTCACGGTCAAGAGCGTCCCTTACCGACTATGCCGTTCCCATGAATGATGCTGAGAATTGCGAAACAGAAAATCCTATAACCTGGATTTCCCCATGATTATGAAGCAGTCAACTAACATCAACGGGTAACTCATATCGAGTAAGTAAATAATAGTTATAAACCTAATATAATTTAATGCAATATCATTTACACATTTTCCCATGTCAAACCGCCACCAACCGCCTTAACTGCACCTAATTAATATATTTTCTTCATCAACAGATAGTGGGAATTTTGCCTTAAAATTTGATGTCCCATCGGGGTTCGAACTTAGAGTTCCATGGGCTTGACGACGAACGAAGATTGTTCACGCGGAACAACTACTGCGGATCTTGCGACAAAGCTTCTTCTAAATCGTAGGCTCTGATGTTGCGACCATCTTCAACAAATAGATACGGGCTTCTGTAATCATCTTGTTTTAAATACCGACCATTAGCGTAGGCCATCAACACTGAAAGGATTATTGTTATGGATTGGCACATTTTGGCTGATATTATTATATACTAACTAATGTATTAATATTTTATTATATTATTATTTTATTTCACGCCTTTCTTCAAAGTGTTATTGACAAAGTACCTTTACTAATTGATTCAATACACAACCAGCTCTTGCTTATATACTGCAAACTCGGAAAATGTTAATACCTGATTATCTGCGTATAAAATATAGCAGATATTTTATACAAACAAAACAAGGACAGAAAACAGAAACAAAGATATTTTTTTACTGAAAGTGACTATTACTGCTCTTAAATGTTAACTTACGGCGCGGCGTTTCTGTTACTAAAATATTTCACAGTAACTGTTTAATTACATTGCTCAACATACATATTATGTCTTGCCATGAACGATCAAGTTTTTAAGATTTGCCCATGGTCACCATGCTGGGTAGGTAATATCCTGTACTAATACGGTATATATTTTTTTATTAACTTAACAGTGACGATCAACAGTAATAATAATATATGGTGTTTGGCGGTTGCTTATGAAAGCTTTAAGCTAAAGAGAGCTCTAGTCGGGTATCATACTTTATCCATAACTTAGGCAATATCATGTCATATGCATTTGGCAAGTTATCAAAAACCATTTTAAAAATTGCCTAGCTTAAAATATCACAGGTTTGTTAAGTTTCAATGAAAAATAAGCCTACATACGAATTCACCTTATGTCCCATTAAGTGGCTAGTGGACTATGTGTGTCAGTCCAATTTTATAAAAAAACCAAATATTTTATCTGTAAAATAAAATACAGAATAACACGTTAAATAGCACTATTAATGTTGCTGTGTTAAGTAAGGTGAGTGACAAAAATCGGTAATTAGAGGGACGAGACATTCATTCTTATTATATAGATATTCCATTTGTAATTTCATTCTTAGTCGAGAATAGATGTTTGTGTCTACGAGCCAACATATTCACCTACAACCATATTATTGCAATGTATTGTTCTTTTTTATTATAGTTATTCAACTAAATTAGCTTACAACACTATAACCGAATTTCTATATAAAAGATCCAGAAAATACGGAATTAATGTATTTTATCTAGAATACAAATAAAAATGATGTTCGTAAAAAGTATGCATTGGATAACAAATGTATTTTGCCAGTCTTTTACAACGTACACTATATATTAATTTCAATTAAAATCCATCAATGATTTCTTTTATTTACACGAACACTACACATTTAAATAATACTCTTTTTACGGATTTTATCGTGTATATTAACTTTCTTATATACCAGACCTTTCGAGCACTTTACACCACCCGTGGTCTCGGGGGGGGGGGGGGGGCTAAGATGTTCAACGCCCAGATGTTAATAAAATTATTTTATCTATGGTAACCGTGGTTAACTATGACATCTGGACGTTGAAAATGTCAGACCCCCCCTGACTATGGGTGCTGTAAAGTGCTCGAAACGTCGGATATATAAAAAAGTTAATATACGCCGTAGAATCCGTAAAAAGGTGTATTATTTAAAATCTATTAATTATGAGGGGATAACAGATTTTTTTTTGTTTTAAATTTGCACCATCTAGTTGTGAAATGAATCGGTGGCTGCAATGCATAGGCGGATTCCCCGAGATAAGCATTCCAATTGTAACGTAATTGAACTCAGGTCACATATTATAGTTAATCAGTATGTTAAATAAAGGTACTTAATACGACATTTTTTTTAATTCATCTTTTGCTTGTAACCGAAAACAGCGTAGTAATGTTTTTTTTTTTTGTAGTTAAGAATTTATTAAAAATTTTTGTTGAATAAATTCTACGAATTTAATTGAGTTTAATTTTAACTTCCGTTCTATCTATCTATTACAGACTATTCAAAGCCTTTTCTGAGCATAGGCCTCCCCCTAGATTGCCTCATAAAATACAGCCATAGTTGCCACGTTTGGCAAGTGGGTTGGCAGTCGTAGCTTTTTATTATTTTGTGGTGTTTTCAGTGTTCATATTCCATATGAGACAATCTATGGAGGAGGTCTATGTTCAGCCATGCAATTTAATAGAGTGTAGAAGTAGTTATAATAATGACAATAAAGTGCTGTTTGCTATTTGCAGATTTAGCAGGAGTATTGGTGGTTGCAGTTCTAGATATTTTTACTCAAGTACCATTATGGCCTTGGTCTCGTTTTGTTATTTAGACAGAGCTCGTTGGTTGTACTTACATCAAAAATTGGGGACGAGGATAGGACCCATCTTATTTTCCTTTTTTTAATTTTGGCATATGACGTGTTGGCATACAAATATCAGCGCTCTTAAAAACAAGTATAATTCCACCCCCAGGTCCTTCAAAAGTGTCAATTCAAGGTAAAGTCAGTCAGTAAACCTGATACAAGTGGAACAGGGACGAATGTTCTTAAACTTTTTCGAGCCCTGTCTTCATAACCAGTGTTCCTAAGCTTAAAATAATATAAGGCACTACCAACTGCTTCCAATTGCTCTAGTGAATATTAATTTTTCCTTAAAACACCTAAAAGAACTAAAATACTAAACAAACACAACGTATATAAGGGTTCTAACTAAAAAGATCACGCCGTAAATATTATGAACGGTCTATAACTAAATTTTCGAAAGATTCTTACAAAAGATTAAAATTATATTTGTTTATTTTGTCTAATGTGACAAAATAAACAAATATAATTTTAATATATAAATTAAATATTTTACAGACGGCAAATATTATATAATATAAATTATAATATACATATGTAGTTAGATAGAAAAAGGGGAATATGGGGGGGGAGTGTTATAACATCAATGATATGTTGCTTACCGGTAACATTCAATGCTATGCAGGCGACACTTCCGGTGATTATTAGTACACCACGCGACAAAACTTGCGATACTATCCGTACCAACTGGATGATTGGCGGTCCACCACTGTGCGATTTAAAAGAAGTTTTCTTCCTCGCACAACTTCCTTGTTTTTTTTAGTGAGCCGTATGCTCGCTTGCCCTCTCTCCTATTTAAAAAAATAAAAATAATAATATTGCTTTTTATTTACGTTTCGAGCACTTGCATTCACACCCTTAGGCACTAATAACTGGCAATTAGCGGCACATGCAGAATCAATACGGCACCAGACCCGTAGAGAAAAACTTTACACATTTGCATAAATATTTTAAACCTACAACCTGCAATGATCGGATTATAAACTTGGAAATACAAGTGAAATATTACGAGAAACTTTTTAAATATTTTATTTACTTAACAACATATTTAACAGGTTAGTATGTAAAAGTTAGTTCCTTCCATGAAGGCAAGTCTTTGCTGAAATTATTTTGGTATATTGTAAGTTTAAATTAAAGTCTTACATTATTATTGTAAAATATAGTAATTCACTGAGCTGAAGTAATTCATTAATCATTAAAACCCATCAAAGGGCCACCTCTAAATTCGGGGCTTCCCCATGGATCACCAAATAGAAGTATGTTTGGTGCCGTTACCACGTTTGGAAGGCGGGCAATAGCAAATAAACTTTTTGTATTTTTGAGTTGTTATCGGGAAGATCGTATTGTGGTTGAGTGATAAAAAAACAAAGTGTAAACAAAAAACCGGATTAAGTGGCGCGTCTTGGGAAAGATTGTTAAGAAGTAAACTTTTGCAGGTTGATGATAATAATTGCAAAGCATTAGACCGAATAAATAGCAAAGTAATTAGGTCGTTGAAGGTGTTCAAATGTTCATAGTCATTTTTATATCATACAAAATTTATTTCTGCTGAAAACAAATGTATTGTGTAAACATTCATAATGCATTTATTTTTGATTACTTAATAAATATGATAACTGGGATTAAGTACTTTTATTTGACATACTGATAAAATATGAGTATGATATGTGACCTGAGGTCAATTACGTTATAATTAGAATGCTTATCTCGGTGAATCCTATCAGTGCAGCCACCGATTCATTTCAAAACTAGATGGTTCAAAATTGATAGATTTTAATAGGAATTATTATAGAGTACATGTTGTAAAACAATGGCAAAATAAATTTGTTATACAATGCACATTTTTATGAACATCGTTTTTATTTATATGCTAAATAAAAATACATTAATTCCGTATTACATGGATCATTTTACATAGACATTTTGTTATGGTGTTATAAGCTTATTTAGTTAAATAAGTATAATTAAAAAAAATTAAAACAATACATTACAGTCAAATTTAAATTATCACAACGCACAACCGTGGTAGGTAAATCTATTGGCTCGTAGACATAAACATCTATTCTCTATTAATGGAATATCAGCCTTAAGCACTAAGATCGAACTGAATTGAATGTCTTGTTTACCGATTTTTGTCACTCACCTTACTTAATACAGCACCATTAATAGTGCAATTTAACGTGTTATTCTGTGTTTTACTTTACAGATAAAAACTTTGGTTTTTTAGAAAATTCTACCGACACACATAGTCCACTAGCCGCTTAATGGGCCAAAAGATGAATTCATACGTAAGCTTATTTTCCATTGAAACTTAACAAACCCGTCATATTTGAGGCTAGGCTATTTTAAAGTGGTTTTTTGATTACTTGTCAGATGCATATGACATGATATTTCCTAAGTTATGGATAAAGTATGATACCCGACTAGAGCTCTCTTTAGCTTAAGACTTTCTGAAGCAACCGCCAAACACCATATATTATTATTACTGTTGATCGTCACTGTTAAGTTAATAAAAAAATATATACCGAATTAGTTCAGAATATTACCTATCCAGCATGGTGACCAAATGAAAATTTTAGAAGCTTGATCATTCATGGCACGACATATGTATGTTCGTTTTACATTTAAACGGCTACTATGAAATATTTTAGTAACTGAAACACCGCGCAGTAAGTCTGTATTTGAGAGCAGTTGTAGTCACTTCCAGTAAAAAAAAATTCTTTGTTTCATGTATATCTGCTACATTTTATACGCAGATCATCGGGGATTAAAATTTTCCGAGTTTTCAGTGTATATAAGCAATTG